ATGATCGAGTTGCGAAAACTAGGTCAAACAATTTCTATACAGCGAAAGGAGACTGCGACCACACAAAAGGCCACACTATCTTGGTCTTTATACCTTCGACAAAACAAGATAGTTAAAAATCTGCATTTGCACTAAGGTACATATGAATATGAGACAAAATAAAAGACTTACCTGAATAATGGTCCATCCTATGTCAAGTAAGGCAAGGTTGATCTTTTTTACCGAGTCACCTTCCCAAATATAACAATTTACTATAATATTAATAAACAAAAAAGAAATTAATTTTACTGAGTAACTAAAAGCAGAATAGAAATGTGGTATGGTTAAAGGAAGTAGAGACTGAAAAAACGTAGAAAATTTGGTTCCATAATCGAATGCATTCTTGGTAAGAGGAATAAAGCTGCTCTTTTGAATTTAGAACAATATAATTATTAGCAAACACACCTGTTTCAGTGCAATGAGAACCCATCTGAACAGGTGGATCCTGTAGGGAGAAGAAAAAAACAGAAGCCAGCTTATTAGGTCACGGTTTATATCACTTCTAAATATAGATTCTCATTAAGAAAACTCACATTACTATTTTGTGACTTAAGAGAGGTCCCACTCCCGATAGATCCACCAAGGCCTCCACTAATGCAGCCTGGGATACCGACCGTTCCAGAAGCACTTGCAATAGTTCCTCCTGTCGGTACTCCTAAAGACCAGCTGGCTTTGCCTGGCTCACTGGATTTCAAAGTGCTGGTAGCTTTCGTTTCAATTGTTTGATGGCACAAAGCGAAGCTATTTATATAAAAACAAGTGGAAACAAAAGGAAGTAAAGATTTAGGTGACTAAGTGGACAATGTCTGGAAGGCGCCGTGAAAATTTAATGTAACCTATCAATCCTAGTAGAGAATTGTGGCTGCATAGGCTATTTAGTAGAAAAGTTCTATGTAAAAATAATAAAATTTAATTTTTAGAAGTGGGCTGACCTCGTTGTCGCAACTTGGTCTTGTTCTCAGG